GCTATATAAACTCGTAGTAATAATAATAATAATAATAATAATATTGAGTAGTTTCATTGGTTATGCTAGTTTTTTATAAACATATTTAACCTCCTCATTACTGCGCTATAGCCGAAAGATGGCTTGGTTCTCTCGTTCTAATAGGGTGTCTATAGACATCCTCCCAGAACTTGCCTTGGGACACAGCTGATCACAGATCGCTGTAAAGGGCAAATCACAGCGGCCCTTTACCATGTGATCAGCTATGCCTAGATTCAGAGATGTAAACAGATTGCTGGTTATCGGTCTTTCCTTTCCTCAGCACTGTCACTGTATTGAGGAAAGAAAAGTGTTGCATATCAATGCCTATCAGTGCCACCTATCAGTGCTGGCTATCAGTACCCTTCAGTGCACATCAGTGCCGCTTATCAGTGTAACGTCATCGGCGCACATCAGTGAAGAAGAAAAATTACTTATTTGCAAAACTATATAACAGAAATGAAGAAAAAAGGTTTTTTTTTTTTTCAACATGTTCAGGTTTTTGTTGTTTGTTTAGCAAAAAATAAAAACCCCAGTGGTGATAAAATACCACCAAAATAAATCTCTGGTTCAAAAAATGATAAAAAGTTCATATTGGTACAGTATTGCATGGCCACGTAATTGTCATTCAAAGTGCAGCAGCGTTGAAAGTTGAATATTGGCCTGGGCAGGAAGGGGGTCAAAGTGCTCGGTATTGACGTGGTAATTTATTTTGACGAATACATAACCTTTTTAAATGTTATTTATATAGGTACTGTAGTTCAGCTTCTTTTTTTTTTTCTTTATAAATAATTATTAATTTTTCAACCAAATACAAATCACAATCACCTTTTTTCAATTAAAAAGACATCCAGACAATATCTTCCTATTAACATAATTTATCTTAATCCCGCACCCCATCCCTCCCTCTTCCCTCCCCTCCTCCTCCCCTTTCCAAACCCACTCCTCCCCCCCCCCCCCCCCCCCCCCACTCTGCGTTTCCCTCTTTTCTTCTACACCAAACATTTTTATTATTTCTAATGTCCATTTTTAGGGGTGTTACATCCTCATATATTTCACTTTTTCTCTATACTCTTCCCATTTTTTCCACTTTATATTATAGATCTCCATCTTATCTATATGCATATAGTACAATCTTTCCGTCCCACAGATCTGATTCATTCTGCCCATCCAATCCTCCTCTGTCGGCACCTCCTTTTTTTTCCAAAACCTCTTTGCTGCACTCAGAAAGTGCCATATCCCCGAATCCTTTTCTGATTTCACTGGGCGCTCTGTTGTATAGAGAAGACATAGCTCTGAGTCCAATCCAATATTAATTTCGGTAATTTTCCTTATTAAATAAACTATTTTCCGCCAAAACACTTGTATTCTTGAACACTTCCACCATATATGATAAAACGTACCCACCTCCCCATATCCTCTCCAACACAATGGTGAGATCTCCCCATTCAATTTGTGCTCTACATTCGGTGTAATGTGCCATCTTACCAAACATTTATAATTTAATTCAACTTCCCACATGCTGATATTTTCGTGAATTATTCTAAACATTTTCCCTTGCTCCTCCTCAGTAGTTCAGCTTCAAATGTACATACACACATTCTTTTCCATGTTTCTTAATTATTAACCTTTATTAGTAATTTAAAAACTTGAAAACATTTTTGGATATGACTACATCATAGTCTTTTTTATTTTTATATATTTTATTAATATTTATTTTATTTATTATCGTTCTCCCTGAATCTTTGGTGTTTTTTTCTAATTTCTGATAAATATCATCAACTAAAATACAGGAAGAGAAATGTCTCAAATGTTTGGTGCGTAATGAAAAAAACATCAGGTATAGTCAGTGCATAATGCATCATTCTAGCTGTTAGACACATCGTTTTTCTCGGTCCAATTACATATTTTGGGGATGTACTGTTAACAGAATGTAGGCATTGGACTAAAGTTTGCTTGTGGTTGCCTAATGAAGCGTGCACAGCCATGTAGACTAATGCTTGCTAATTGGCTTTAAATTGCTGCTAACGTTTTTATGGACTGGTCACAAAAGAATGACCCCACTTTCCCGATGTCCATAAAGCTGTATAAGAAAGGTCATAACATGGCTGAAATTCAGCTGGTCAAGTAGTTTCATTGTAAATAGTACATGCAGCTTCTCCCCCCCCTGATTGTTTGTCCCATCTGCCCAGCTAGACAGTTGATCAATTAAACACCAACCCCCCATCTTCCAGCATTGTCTTTCGAAGACCCAGTGGACATATGTTCTAGCTAGTGAAGGGCTGTAACCTCGAGACATGCCTTTGGTGCAAGCCAGAATTCCACTGTGTGGGAACTAGAAGCCCAGAATGGGGATTAAGGTCAACTAGCAAAAAAAGAAGGAGCTATGTAGAGTAAATTTAACCTGCCTTGTAACTTGTAAAAAAAAAATGTCTTAGTTAGTCAATAAAACCCAAGAGTAGCCCAAAGTCTTTCTTAAAATGCAGATGGCGTGAGGTCTGGAGGAGAATTGTTTTGACATAATCAATAGAAACAATAAAGTACAACAATGGCTGAATGGAGACCATTCTCTCAATTAAACTGATACAAATGACCAGCTGACAAATTGTGCAGGTGAGCTGAAGACATTGCTTTAGTAAAACATGCTTGCTTCAAGAAAATAGTCTTGTGCTGAGATCTTTTCAAATGACTAGGGTGTGTTTTTTACTTTAATGCAATTAGCATTTAAACTTAGTATGTGGCGCTAAATAGCCTTTGTCCATGGCCAATACTCTTTTGATTTAATTGTAAGCATTTTCTATGAAAAGGAAGAATGAACGCATAGACCATTCACATCATCCCCTGCCTGGAAAGAACTTAAAGTCACATTAAAGACTATATTTTAATAAATAAATTTGTTTTCCTTACCAGCTCTGTGTAATGGTTTTGCACACAGCATCCCCGATCCTCCTTTTTCCCCTCCCTCCTTTTTCCCCTCCCTCCTTCCCAGTGCCCCCAGAGCAAGCAGCTTGCTATGGGGGTACCCAAGCAGACTCATTCCCAAGCTGCTGCTCTGTCTGTCCATTCAGACACAAAGTATGACTCAGCCCCCGCTCTCTCCTCATTGGCTCACTGGCTGTAATTGCCAATGGCTTCCAATGCTATCTCAGCCAATGAGGAAGTCAAGACCCGGGGGAGCCACTGCTCCCATGTACATCACTGGATCGAGATGGGGCTCGGGTATGGAATGGGGCTCAGAAGGAATGCATGAAGGTAAAAAACCTTGAGCCTTTACAACCACTTTAAGCAGGCCATATATGGATTTAAATTTGGCCAGTTCAGCAAAGACTTGCCAAATTTCGACCCATGTATGGCACTCTGGTTGTACTCAAGTCGATCTACTTCAGTACAACTGCTACTGTCTCAGCCAATGAGGAGGGTGAGACCCAGGAGGGTCGCTGTTCATGTGTACATTTCTGGATCGAGATGGGGCTCAGGTATGTATTGGGGGGGGGCTCCTGCCCACAGAAGGTTTTTTACCTTCATAAATAAAAGGCATGAAGGTATTAAAACCATGAGACTTTATAACCACTTTAAGCAGGCCATATATGGATTGAAATTTGGCCAGTTCAGCAGAGACTGGCCAAATTTTGACCCATCATTGGCAGACCAGTTGTACTCAAGTCGATCTACTTCAGTACAACTGGTAGTACAACTGCTACTGTCTCAACCAATGAGGAGGTTGAGACCCAGGAGAGTTGCTGCTCACGTGTACATTGCTGGATTGATTTTGACCCATCTATGGCAGGCTGGTTGTACTCAAGTCGACCTACTTCAGTACAACTGCTACTGTCTCAGCCAATGAGGAGGGTGAGACCCAGGAGTGTCGCTGTTCACGTGTACATTTCTGGATCGAGATGGGGCTCAGGTATGTATTTGGGAGGGCTCCTGCCCACAGAAGGTTTTTTTTTTTCTTGCTATGCATGAAGTAATAAAACCTTGAGCCTTTACAACCACTTTAAGCAGGCCATACAAGGATTGAAATTTGGCCAGTTCAGCAGAGACCGGCCAAATTTCGATCCATCGTTGGCAGACCAGTTGTACTCAAAGTTGATCTACTTCAGTACAAACTCCTAGTACAACTGCTACTGTCTCAAATAATGAGGAGGGTGAGACCCAGGAGGGTCGCTGTTCACGTTTACATTGCTGGATCGAGATGGGGCTCAGGTATGTATTAGGGGGACTGCTGCACACAGAAGCATAGAATGCATGAAGATTAAAAAAACCTTGAGCCTTTACAACCACTTTAAGACAGCCATAGATGGATTGAAATTTGGCCAGTTCAGCAGGGACAGCCCAAATTTCGACCCATCTATGGCAGGCTGGTTGTACTCAAGTCAATCTACAACCAGCCTGTCGGATAGTTATCATGTGATCACTGCCATAAGCTATAGCTGCCAGCAGTGATCATTGTAGTCTGCCGGTGGGGAAAACTCCCCCCCCTTCCCATCAGCAGAACACGATAGCACTGCAGGAGGGACTCCCCCATCACTACTAACTGTGTTGATAGGGAAATGAAGAGATTTTCTTTCTTGTGGTTGAGGGAAATAAAATTGCTTAACGTAAGGCTATCTTACAGTCTAATATTTTTAACATAGTACTGTTTGAGTAGAAGTGGATTATTTGCCAGTATATATAACACCAGAGTGTGGAAGGAACATAGCACACCAGAAACACATGTAACCCCATAAATATACAAGCTTTGTATAAGAGAAAAAATTAAATCAAGAACCCCAAGGCATATCACTGAAATATATGACATCGAAAAAACAAGACTACAATGCATCTGAGCACCATAACCCAAAAACACTGTTTTAACCGCCTCCTGCCCACCATATAAGGAAATGATGGACGGGTGGCGGTTCTCTCGTTCTGGGAGGACGTCATATGACGTCCTCCCACTCTAACTGCGCTTGCACGCCCCCCCCGGGGGCACTCGGCACGGCGATCGATGGTGCACTGTGTCCCTGGGTGTCCCTGTTGCTAACAACGTGAGAGGAGAGCCGGTAATCGGCATTCCTCAGAGGGGATATGTATGCTGATCATCAGTGCCCTGATTATCAGTGTAGCCCCATCAGTGCCACTTGTCAGTCCCCATCAATGCCACCTGTAAGTGTCCAGCAATGCCACATACCAGTTGCCATCAGTGCACATCTATGCCACATATCAGTGCACATCAATGCCACATATCAGTGCCCATCAGAGCTGCCTTTCAGTGCCAAATATCAGTGCCAGTCAGTGCCACCTATCAGCCCCAGTAAGTGTTGCCTATCAGTGCCGCCTAACAGTTCCAATCAGTGCCGCCTGTCAGTGCCAGTCGGTGCCGTCTATCAATGCCGCCTATCAGTGCCATATATGAGTGCTACCTTTCAGTGTTCATCAGTGATGCCTGTCAATGCCCATCAGTGCCCATCAGTCAGTGTTTCCTATCGGTGCCGCCTAACAGTTCCAATCAATGCCGCCTATCAGTGCCAGTCAGTGCCATCTATCAATGCCGCCTATCAGTGCCATATATGAGTGCTAACTTTAAGTGCCCATCAGTGATGCCTGTCAATGCCCATCAGTGCCACCTACCAGTGCCTCATCATCAGTGCTGCCTATCAGTGCCCATCAGTGCCGCCTATCAGTGCCCATCACTGCAGCCTCATTAGCGCACATCATTAAAGGAGGAAAATTACTTATTTACAAAATTTTATAACAGACACTAAAAAAAATATTTTTTCCAGTCTTTTTTAGTTTGTTTAGCAAAATATGAAAAACTCAGTGGTGATTAAATACCAAAAAAAGCTCTGTCTCAAAAAAAACTATACAAATTTAATATGAGTACAGTGTTGCATGACTGCGCAATTGTCATTCAAAATCCAACAGTGCTGAAAGCTGAAAATTGGCCTGGGCAGGACTGGGGTAAAAGTGCCTGGTAGGCAAGTGATTAACCACTTTTAATATTGGGCACTTTTCACATACTGTATATGTAAAAATCTACATTTTTTTTTTGCTAAAAAAAAATACTTAGAAACCCCAACCATAATATATATTTTTAGCAGAGAATAAAATGGTGGGTTTTGCAATTTTTTTTTTATTTCACACTGTATTTACGCAGCAGTTTTTCAAACACAATTTTCATTTTGGAAAAGAACACCTAATTGAATTTTATTGCGCACACACACAATATACTCACAATATACACTCACCGGCCACTTTATTACTGGGTTGGACCTCCTTTTGCCTTCAGAACTGCCTTCATTCTTCATGGAATAGATAGATTCAACAAGGTGTTGGAAACATTCCTCAGAGATTTTGGTCCATATTAACATGAGTTACTGTTGCCTTTCTATCATCTCGAACCAGTCTGCCCATTCTCCTCTGATCTCTGACATCAACAAGGCATTTCCATCCACAAACAGTTGTGTTCAAAATAATAGCAGTCAGACATCACTAACTGGATCAATCACTGTTTTTGGTAGAAATGATATTTCTACATGGCAAATAATTTACTAGCAGGTGTAATAGAGTAATAAAAATCCAACAGACCCAACAGTCATGACATGCATGCTGCTGATTCTGTGTAATTGAATCACTAATTGAAAGGGGCATGTTCAAAATAATAGCAGTGTGGAGTTCTATTAGTGAGGTCATTACCAAAACCTGAAAGACGTGGAAGAAAGCCAAAAACTACCATTCGAATGGATAGAAGAATAGCCAAAATGGCAAGGACTCAGCCAACAATCAGCTCCAGGAAGATGAAAGAAGGTGTAAAGTTCCCTGTGAGTACTGTTACAATTAGAAGACGCCTATGTGAAGCCAAGCTATCTGCAAGAAGCCCCCGCAAAGTCCCACTGTTGGAAAAAAGACATGTGCTGAAGAGGTTACAATTTGCCAAAGAGCACATTGACTGGCCTAAAGAGAAATGGCGCAACATTTTGTGGACTGATGAAAGTAAGATTGTTCTTTTTGGGTCTAGTGGCCGAGACAGTTTGTCAGACGACCCCCAAACACTGAATTCAAGCCACAGTACACTGTGAAGACAGTGAAGCATGGTGGTGCAAGCATCATGATATGGGGATGTTTCTCATACTACGGTGTTGGGCCTATTTATCGCATACCAGGGATCATGGATCAGTTTGAATACATCAGAATACTTGAAGAGGTCATGCTGCCTTATGCTGAAGAGGAAATGCCCTTGAAATGGGTGTTCCAACAAGACAACGACCCCAAACACACCAGTAAACGTGCAACATCTTGGTTCCAGACCAACAAGATTGACGTTATGGAGTGGCCAGCCCAATCCCCGGATCTTAATCCAATAGAAAACTTGTGGGGTGACATCAAAAATGCCGTTTCTGAGGCAAAACCAAGAAATAGAGAAGAACTGTGGAATGTAGTCCAATCATCCTGGGCTGGAATATCTGATCACAGGGGCCAGAAGTTGGGTGACTCCATGCAACACAGATGTACAGCAGTTCTCAGAAACAGTGCGACTACAACCAAATATTCATTAAATGATTCAAAGGAAAGCAAAATCTTCAAACATTTTTCAGTTTATATAGTGAATGTTTGAGTTTGTAAAGAAGAATACAAACACTGCTATTTTTTTGAACAGTCTAATATTCACTTTTCTTTAATTTGTTTTAGAGGAACAACACAAATTTGATATATTTTTCTTCATGTTTTGATTTGGAATAGAATGTGTAGTGTTCCCAATGCATTTGTGTGGATGGAAATAAAAGCTATTAGAAGGATTTTGAGCTTTATTCACTTTTTTCAACACACTGCTATTATTTTGAACACAACTGTACCTGCCGCTCACTGGATATTTTCTCTTTTTCGGACCATTCTCTGTAAACCCCACAGATGATTGTGCGTGAAAATCCCTGTAGATCAGTAGTTTTTGAAATAATCAGACCAGCCTGTCAGTCACTTAAATCCCCTTTCTTCCACATTCTGATGCTCAGTTTGAACTTCAGCAAGTCGTCTTCACCACATCTAGATGCCGAAATGCATTGAATTGCTGCCATGTGGTTAACAATTTGTGTTACCAAGCAATTGAACAGGTGTACCTAATGAAGTGGCCGGTGAGTGTAATACCCATTTTTTTGGTAAAATATATAAGATGATGTTACGAGTAAGTAAATACATACCTAAAATGTCACGTTTTAAAACTGCATACACCCGTGGAACAATGCTAAGGTATGGTTGCTACAAATCTCAATAGGTGATGCTTTAATTGCCTTCACAGGTTGACATTTCGGAGTTCGGCTCTTGCTCTTACGTTTGCAACAATACCTCACAAGTGTGGTGCGATCACCATTTACATATGCATGTGGGACTTACAAAGCGTTTGCATTTGTGTGTGCACATGGGTGGACAGGGGTGCTTTAATTTTTTTTTTTTTACTTTTTTTTTTACTGTCCCTTTGTTTTATTTTTATCAACTTTATTGCTATCACAAGGGATGAACAACATCCCTTGTGATAGCATGGACTGAGACAGGTCCTCTTTATGGAGAGATATGGGGTTTATTAGACCCCAGATCTCTCCTCTGGCCTCCAGTGCAACTGATCAGACACAGATCAGTCTGATTGGCTGCCTTCCTGGCCACTAATGACCAGGTAAACAAAGAGTTGAAATCTTTGTTGCTTCCAGTTTCTGGGGTCACAGAAAGGGAAAAACAATGTCAGTTTCTCTCTCTCTGTTCATGGTTGCAGATGCCACCAGTCAGATCGATGGAGACCCCCTTCCGCTGCCAACAAAATTGATTGTGTGGCTCTTCAGGGAATTCCTGGCTTTAAAACTTTGATACCGGGATGATGCCTTCAGGTGCAGGCATCATCCTAGTATATTCTGATATAGTGGAGGGATGGACGCCACTCAGGGGGTGGACTGACAACTCATGGTGCCCCCGGGCAATAGGGGATAATGGGGCCCCTGTGTCCTTGCCCAAACTCAACAAAGCCTATGAAAAAGGTACCAGGGGCATCTCATGGGGCCCCCTACTGACCCCGGGCCCTCGGGCAGTGCCAGAGTTTCCAAATGGTCAGTCCGCCCCTGATGCTGCTCAAGACCGACCTTGAGGGTCAGATGTGTATGATGGCCTCTGTGATCAAGCCGCAATGGGTGGGACAAAATGCGTCAGAGGGCGCTGCTGGAGCTGGAGCTCAGGCCATCCTACACATCTGACTCTCAGGGTCGGTCTTGAGTGGTGTCTGTCCCTCCACTATATCAGAATTGCTGGGGCCACTTTGGGATGCTGCTCCCTCATTTTTCCTCATGCCGGAGGGGGTGACCTTCTCTTAGTTCCAGCTTGGAGCGGTGCCACAGAAGGTTCCTCTATGGTCCCATCATCCTGGTATAACCACTTCACTCCCAGGATGTCATATGGTTAATTCATTTTTAATATTCAAGGCAAACTCCTCCATCCATCCATGTCTCCATGCTTTACTTTGCTAAGAAATCACTTTAAAAACACCCCCCTTAGCATTTCTAGCTGTGGAAATCTTGTAAGGACAGATGATTCATGTAGCATTTACTTCCTGGAATCCGTCTGCCCTTAACTCAGGCATGCAGGCAGGACGGTAGCTGAGAAAACCCCTCCTTCACTCCTGAAGACTGCTGGGATGTATGATATCATTTTGGCCTCGGTCTAGAAACCAGGAAGCAACTAAAGAAACGTAAAACTTTAAAACAAATAAATGATAAACTTTCCTATCTATTTACTAATTCTAGCAGCATAAGGATTAAAAATAGTCAGTGTTGATTGAGAGAGTGACGTTCTGCTTTAATTCTGCGTATAAAATGCTATTTTTTATTTTTAATCACAAAAAAATTAGCATACGTGTAATTAGTGTTGTGGCATGCATTTGCTTACCCTTTATAAATACTTGAATTCAGAATTCATATAACAATGATTACATATACAGCTACAGAAATAGTTCCCCATATTTGTTTTTGGTATTTTAACCGCCTCCCACCTACCATATAAGGAAATGACGGGCGCAAGGCGGTTCTCTCGTTCTGGGAGGACGTCATATGACTTCATCCCACTCTAACTGCGTGTGCGCGCACCCCTGGGGGAGTGCAGCGCTGCGATCTGTGGTGCGCTGTGTCCCTGGGACACAGCAGGTCACCGATCAATGAATAGAGATGAAGACGTTGGTTCTGTCATGTGATCAGTTGTGTCCAATCGCATGTAAATAAGGAATTGCCAGTTATCGCCATTTCTCTCCTCATGAGCTGTCACGCTGACAGCTTGTGAGGAGAGGAGAGCCGTTAATCATTACTCAGAGGGGGCATCTACACTGATCATCAGAGCACTGATGAAACTCAGAGAACTCAGAGAGGGGTGGAGGAGAG